TTGTTTCCGTCTTACGTTATACGCACGAATTAATATATTAAGGTATATCTTAATTCGTGGTTATACGTTATGGGTTACAGTCAATTGGTCGTATGAAATTGGTCGTGGTAAAATTTGTCGTCTGAAATTGGTCGTTTTGTAAATTGGTCGTTAGGTGAATTGGTCGTTTGGTAAATTAATCGTTTTCAATATAATATGTATTTTATGTAAAAAAAATATTTGGTCATAATTTTGAATTTAATGTATGTGACAATAATTGTAAGTTTTAAAAAATAATATGAGTAAAAATAATATATGTGACAATAATTATAAGTTTTAAAAATAATATGTGTGACAATAATTATAGGTTTTAAAAAATAATATGAGTAAAAATAATATATGTGACAATAATTACAAGTTATGAGCTATCCCAGATATATATCTTTTTTTTATTTGGTAAGAGTGCATAAACCGAAGGTAAGACGTTTGAAGATTGTATTCCATGAATAGTATATAATTGTTTAAAAATAGATGGGGCACATGAAAATGTGCCATCTGCATACCAATGATCGCATTCGGACATTTTCTGTAAATTTTCTTCCGTGGAAAATAATAAAAATCTATTGCAGTTATCCGGGTCATGATCGAAAGAATCATATAGTAAGAATGACTTACCATCACTTAGAATGGAATTTCCATCTGTATGTATTCTGGCTTTACATTTTTTTTTTAAATTTTCAACACATTTCCATATAGTTTTTTTATCATTTCTACTTTCAAAACGATATGAAAAACCATCATGCACGAGCATATCTTTTCCTCTTTCACTTTTAATAAAATCTAGAGGCATATTAATTATAATTTTTTATTTTTTATTAACTCGATTATATAATTATTAGCACTAGACTAGACTACACCGTCAATCACAGTCAACTGAAATTTGTAGACACAGTACCTATACACTATAATTGAAGAAACGAAACATTATTATTTGTATTCCAGATAAAGAACATCCGATAATATTGTTATCGTAATATAATATAACTGTAATAATGCTAGTTGTACATATTTTGTACACGCTGTTATTTAACTTATTATCGCAAAACGTTTTATACCTAATGATTACTGTCAATTTGTACACGCTGTTATTTAACTTATTATCGCAAAACGTTTTATACCTAATGATTATTGTCAATTTGTACCTACATAACGTTTTTAACCAGTATTCGCGTTTCGCGACGAAAATATACCTACTACGACTATTTTACCGAACGACCAATTTCAGACGACAAATTTTACCACGACCAATTGTATAAGACCAATTGACATAGACTCATACGTTATACAAACGCATAACATAGGAAATTGTACGTTCTGAATATTTAACTACGTTTAATTTTAGAGTGAATAGACCTAATACTAAATTTAAAAGTAAGAATATTATCTAGCGAATGAGATGGGTATTTTTTATATTATACTTTTAAAGCGAGTTATGATCTTTTTAAAATTGTAAACTGTACAGAACTAGATTAGTTATGACGTACCTATGCAATTATTTGCTATCAGTTTGTAAGATGGAGACAAAGCATGCCCCATTTTTGTTTTTCCCGATGCTTTTGACATTTGACCTCTTGAATACACCGATTAGATTCATTTTCTCACACACCAAGAAAGATACTGAAGTTTAAAATCGAACTATGTCGACTACTGATAGTGTGAACTCTCTCCGCTAAAAATCTAAAACTAAGGTATAAAGTTGAAGATATTTTTTTTGTTTTAATTTATTAAAATGTATTAAATAAAAAATTATATAACTATATTAAAAATCCCGAAACTTTAACTGCGTTATAGTCTCAATTATAACACCTAATTCCGACGGGGATGAATGTTAAGGTATACATACGATAACCGGCAATTATTAATTTTTCGTTTTTATCCCAGGTTTATGTAATTAATTAAAACAATTATTCCGTCCAGGTTGGGAATCACCGCTCTAATACCATAGAACCGTAAAATAAATAATACTAAAGCAATTCATCAAACAAGGAACGCGTGTGCTTTCTGTTGAACGCTAATTTGTCATGTTATACGTGTGGGCCACATTATAATACTATGTTGATGACATAATTATTGTCTACAAGTCTACAACTTATACAGTTATACGATAAATTCACAATTTAAGAATTTATATTCCTTCAAAAATTATTATTGGAATAATTCTTCCAATTTCCAAATAATTAATGTGATATCACTTATTACTTAGTATTAATATCACTTACAAGTGTTATAGGTGGTTTAATGCAAAATTAAAAAATGTATTGAAATGCAATTAATAAAAATGTAGGCAAGTGGGTATACCACTCAACTGTATGTATACAGTATATTATAGGTGTCAAGCGAGTCTCTATAGTGCCTATTATACTCACTGTAATGAATGTAATCGATGTGTTAAATTTGAATTCAATGAAAAAGTATTGCATACGAAAAATGATTTTGAGTGAACACGGTCTGTCAGCCTATATTACTATGAATATCTTAGGATATTATTACTATTAAAGTACCTAGGTAATTTATTTTACTGTAAGTACAGTAGGTTGAATTAATTTTGGTCAAACACGTTGAATTTAACAATATCATTGTGTGTATAAAATATAATAATATACTTTGAAAGTTTCAAGTACCCACGAATAATATTTTAAAGCTACAACAAAATAAATAAAATCGTAAAAATATCTAATGTCGTCTAAATTTTAAATTAATTATCTACCTATGTATAAAAAAAACTGTTTATATATTTTTTAGATTTTTTGGTTATAGTATTTGGCTACAGAACTACACATGAGAAACCTTGTTTCAAATTTTCAAACCTTATATAACTATAAAAAGCAGGTAAGTGGATGTCACTCTGCTATTCAGTAGGTTACAAGTGGCCAAGTGGGTCACTGTAATAAATGGTATTAAATTTGAAATCAATGATATAATATGGTTACGAAAACGATTTTGAGTGGAGACGGTTTGTCAGCCAAAGATATTTTATATTGTATTGAATATTGATATTACTATTATTAATACGATAGCCGGTAAATTGAATTAATATTATTTGTATATTGTATTTAATTATATACGTCTTGAAAAGTTGCAAGTACCTACGAGGCTACGAATAATATTTTTTAAATATATCACAAAACTAAAAATCGTTCATCTTTTTTGATTATCATTTAATATTTTAATTTAAAAAACTTTAAAAAAAACTTCGTTTTTATATTATTTAGATTTTTTGGTGGAACATTGTTTTACATTTTCAATCCTTAAATATAAATGTTGAACATTTTATACATTTTTAAATTTTAAATTTGATAAATTTTGTCAAAATTCGAACTTTAAATGCTAAGATTTAAATAGAAAATAATTTATGAATTTCTAACTCAAAATAATTTGCATACATTCGTAATTCTATGGTGTAAGGGTATATAATATGGACACTCAGTGAAAATGTCATGGATCTACGGTAATTTGTTTTAGAGTTACACCAAAAACCAAAGTCGATTTAGCTTAAATATTCCCGTTTTTCAAGGTGATTTTGAAAACTACTGGAAATTTAAAATTTGGTCTCCCGAATGCACCAAATAGATTCACTTTCCCATCGAACAAGATAGGTACCTACTGAAGTTGAAAACCAAAGTTATACGTCCACATCTAATCGTGTATAAAGACACAAAAAAAATAATAAAAAAATCAATACATTCATCGATTTGCTCTGCAGAATCTAAAATTAAACATTTTATAAATTATTAACTACAAAATAATGTATTAATTTTTTGAGGAAATTGGACTCCTTCATTTATTACATATAAACACGCAATATAATATTGGTAGGCAGTGACATTCGAGTCACCCGAATACCCAGCAATCACCGGAATACTATTTTCATAGTGGCTAAAGCCTATAAAGTTATTTTAATTGTCTTCTGATAGGTATTCAACAATTGATTTATTAGAGCAGTTTCAAATAAATATGAAAAATTTACTAACCACCTATTAAATATATACATATTAAATTGTCACTATTGAATTGATCAATGTTAAAATTCGTCATCACTCATCACTTATGTATTATAAAGTTTAAAATAGTAAAATATGATTTAAACAAAATATCAGTGTATGTAGTTAATATAGAAATGTATGTATTATTTAATATGTATTTATTTATTTATTTAGTCTTGTAAGTTGTAAAAGTAGAGTACTATTAATATAGTTTACTATTCTTTTTTTTTTATAATATTAGTACGTAGTACACTAGTACCTACCTATTTGTTCTACATTTGAGTATCTATAAAGTAAGTTTATTGTTAATTCTAATCATACTATAGAGTACTTAGTTTACACTTCAAAGTTAAAACTTAAAGGCATTGGCCACTGGCAGGTTCTTGTATTAATTAAAATACTATTGGTATAGGCACCTACATATTTTATGATTCGTGTCGTTGTATTGTGTCACGTAGTCCGTGTAAATAGATATGAGGTAGATACCTCTTTTAAAACATTGTAACACTATATTCTTAGAATTATTTCCGTTTCTGTTATATTATATGTTAGTAATTATGCACTTGTATTGTAAATTTTAACACCGAATAAACATTGAACACGAAAACGTCCTAATTAAACGAACTTTTATCTTAATAAAGGGATCTTTATTATAAACCACCTTTAAACGGTCTAAACGATTTGCTAAGTGGCGTACGTTTCTTTGAAAAATATCTTGTCGTCTTGTCACGTTATCACCTCAATTTCCGTACTTATTTTAAATATATACCTACGAAAAAAAAATTACAACACATTGGACACAGTGGCTTGTTTTCTTAATCGACCCAGTGAATATTATCTAAGTTAATTAACTCTGTTCTACATTAGGTATATAAAAAGACAAACACTTCGCATTGACCGTCGTAGTGTTAAAGTCGTTGCGAAACAAGATAAACATTAATTTATTTTTTTTTTTCGTACATTTGAAAAAAAAAGGATATGAAAGTGTTTTTGTGGTTCGTAGCGGTTTGTTTGCCACTGGCGCTGGCACAGCCCGTGAATTTGAGGGCCGAAGAAGAGGAAGAGAACGAAGTGGACAACAGCAGTGATTCGGACTTATACAATGGTCTAATGCATTTAGGAGCAGCGATTTTTGGTACTCCAGATGTCAAGTCGGGTGAAGCAGTGTCGACGTGGAAGGAGACTAGTCAACTAAACCCCGAAGAGATGGGCGAATACGCCGAGGGTGACATATTACACCCGATTGGAAATGCTAGGAATGGATTGAAAGCTGTATCGTCTAGATGGCCTAAAGGAGTTATCCCCTACGAAATCAGTCCATCTTTCGGTAAAAGCAATATAAATCGTACTACACATACATAATTACACAAATAAATAAATAATATGTAGTATTCAGTAAAATCAATATAATAGCACGACCATTATATTTCAATAAAATTAATATTATAAATGATTTTTTCTAATTATATCATAATTGTATTTATATTATAATATAATAATATATACTTAATGTAGGTAGTAGGTATAATAAGTGCCTACAGGCTAGAGTTGGCTACAGACATTGATTTCAGTTTTTTTATTGTTCAAATTAACGTAATTACTACCTACCTATTTAAGTAATTTGTGTAGGTTTTTTCCTAAAGTATTTTAAGATGATAGAATAAAATACCCATTAAATTAATTTAAATTGTGATGGGATCACCCCCGAGTACAACTAGATGTCTACAGTATTTATTTTTCTTTAGAAATATATCCACTTAATTAAAATTCTTGAATTGCACAATTAAAATGTAAGTAAAACATATCATTACATTTCTGATCAGTATTATACCCAACACACTGATATTATATATTAAGGATCAAAATAGCAAAAAAAAAACCTATAGTTATGGCAGAAAAAAGTCATACATTGCTTTAAGGTGGCATACAGTTCAAAAAAAAAAGATGAGGGTGGAAAAATAAAATAAAATATATATCGGTAAAGAATAGTGGCATTACAATGTTTGCTTTAGGGCGGAAAATATTTAACGACGGGTCAGTATTGACTATACCTAAATTACTGATTATACTATAATATATTGTATATAATATTATGAAGAAAAACTATAACTAAGCTTTATGTACCTACTATTTTTTACTAGGTACCTACCTATTTTGAATGTTATTTACTTAAATTTTCCTTTTTCAGTTATTAGTTTTAACCTAGGTATTTGAATAGGGTTTAACCCGTTTGTATTTCAATAAAATTAAATTTCTAAACAATACTTTTTCTTCTCCGAAAACCTGATTTTTTTTTTTTTTGTTCGACAAATTAAAATCAATAACCTCGGGAAAACAGTTTTATTTTACATTTTAAAATCCAACATAATACGGGTTTTCCATGTTTAATATGTAGTATATTTTGTTGTATTAATATGCATTACGAAAAATGAATGCAATTTCATTACATCAACATTTATACGCGTATTATATGATTAATCTAGGGTCTAGTGATAGACAGTTGATATTGAGTTCAATTGATGAATACAAAAAACTAACGTGTCTAAAATTCACACCCAGAACCTCTTATGACACTGATTACATTTACTTCACTAATGGTAATACGGGATGTTGGTCATCAGTCGGAAAAATCGGAGGAAGACAAGAAGTATATAAAATTTGTTAATTTTTTATCTAATATATAATATACTGCAAGCAACATTATAGTACTATTATTACTATAGTACACTATTTCAATTTATCGATATCATAATTGTATAGGTGAATCTACAAAGTCCGGGATGTTTGTCGAAGAAGGGTACAGTAATGCACGAAATGCTTCACGCCGCTGGATTCATGCACGAACAGAACAGACCAGACAGGGATAAGTTCGTCACCGTCAACTATAACAATATCCAATCGGGTTAGAATGCAAAATAATTTGTCTTTTAAACTGTGGTGTCATAACCATTTTTTTAATACTCCCGTGTACTTTCAGGTAGAGAAAATAATTTTGAAAAAGCCCAGAGTTCGATGATTGACAGTCAAGGTATAGGCTACGACTACCGTAGCGTAATGCACTATTCGGCCAATGCTTTTTCGAAAAATGGTCAAGCGACCATCGATCCGAAGGTATATTTTTTATGCGTATAATATATTGTAGTCATATAGTTATATAGAATATAAATTATAGTTTAGATATATCAAACAATTTTATGTCTGAAATAAAATTATTTCCCCCTTTTTAAAATATACGATAATTTAAATTGTTAGATATGTTTTATATATTTTACATATTTTAATACATATTTTATAATAACGTAGATCATAGAGTATAGACTTCATCATTTATTAACCGAGCTTTCTTAATAATATTTAGACACGTGGCGTGACAATGGGTCAGAGAGACGGTTTAAGCAGAAAGGATATTCAAAAGATTCAAAAGATGTACAATTGCAAAAGTAAGAGACAGCAATCTTCTTCATCTATCGACTAAAACTATAGTACATTTTACAAGCATTTTCTGTGTTAGAAACAAACAGTGAAGTACTTTCACCGTTATGTGTATTTTGATTTACTTATAAAGTTATAAATTTGAATTATTTGAAAACAAATAAATAAATTAGTTAAGTAAAAATACATGTTATATAAGTATATTATTCATAAATGTAGGCTATCTACAAGTATATAATATATTATATTTATTTGCGAAAAATCTTTTCCTCGTTTTTTAGTGTACACCTATATCAATAACTTAAGTAGACAAAATTAATGAATGACAGATTTCATTGATTTATTTAAACCAATGGGCAATGATGTTATGTACGTTAGTTGTTAGTTGACACATTATAGTTATAGGAACTTAATAAATATTATATGATATGGAAGATATATTATCATCTATTTATATCCAATATTATTATTTTCTCTACAGACTAAAAAAGCTTAAATCCAAAAACAAAATGTGTAGGTACATGTATACAAATATATTTCTAATAAATGTAATGATTTGGGAATTTGTATTTTAATTTATTTTTTTTAAGCTAATAATAATCAAAATATGTGCCTCTATTGTAGTAAATGCAAAATATATTGCTCTTCTCGGTTTGTTATAGATTTTGGGTAGACTTTTCATCACAAATCCTGTATGTCAAGTACTAAATTATACTAAAATACCAGATGATGGTTATAAAATGATTGGTGATTGCTAAATTGAGTACCTACATAGTTTATATTATAGTATTATTATTTTACTTTCATGTTACAACAAACGTATTATTTGAGAGAACATAACATGTTTAAGGTATCTATGGGGCTTTAGCCTATACAAATAAAGTATTAAGTAGGTACCTATATATGCTCACCTACAGCACAATAAATATAATTTTAACAATTTATTAATAACCACCTACATAATGACTTGCAAGGGTGTGTACAATTTTTGTTTAGCCTTTGTAATAGGTAAAGATATATATTAATACGACTATACAGCATTACAGCTAAATATTTTAACTAATCTTCATGAATTCATAAAATAATGAAATGTATATAAATGGCGCTATAATAAACTCAGATAACTAAATAAACCAAATAACTACAGATTATGTGTATTTCATTATGTTTTAGTCTTCTGATCATTCTCCCCTCTGCCCGAAGTTTACAGCTTACATAGTTACATAACTATATAAATATAATCAATGGTAATTAATAATTCAACTTTTAAAATATTTACATAAATTAGCACTAAACTATTAGGTTATCTCAGAATTTTAAGTAACAAAAAAAAATAAAAAAAAAAATATAATTCTATAGGTAACATTAGTGTTGGCAAACAAGAATGGTAAATGGCCAACTTCCCCTCAGAAATTTAACCAATGGCTATTCTCGGTGTAGTAGGTCATATTCCCCCAGTATAGCATTTTTATTCATGGAAATATTTTGAATTTATTCTGTTTAATATTATAACGCATAAAGACAAAATTAGATGTTAGACAAAAAAAGATAATATTTCTTATTCTAATACATGTTTGAAAAATATGGAGGGGAAATTCCGCATTAAAAAATGTCATACTACCCGGGTAGAATAAATAATAATTATCACAAAATTGATTAGGAAGAAAGTTATTGACGGTGACAGACACGGTATGATAGTTAAAGGCTTAAGCATATTCTTAGAATAAAACCGATCATTATTCATTATGATTATGACATTACTCCAAAATAATATACATAATAAAATATATCTAATAAATTATAAAAATGAATTCATTTACTTAAGTACCAACACAGAAATTCAGAATAAATTTCAAACATAAGAATAAAACAATAAATAAATAATAATTATTCATACCTAATAATTTTATATAAAGTATTATAAACTATTATTAGGTACCTTATAATATATAGGTTATTGGTGTAATTAATACCATACAAAAATGATTAATAACCATCACCATTCACCGTCGATAACGCCAATTAGTCATATAATTAGGCTCATTGACAATTTTAAAGTTCTATTTAATATTCAATATATAAGGTTATATAGGTTATTCTAATTTTGTATTTAATTAATTGATGACGTACGTTATTGCCAAAAATTAAATTACCATAAAACAATTTATAAGCCATTAAACAATTATAGCTCTGAAGATACAACTTACATTATTGTACATAGCCAACATACATATAGGTACTTATACAAAATGTTAAATGCAATAATGTTGTTCATGTGTTCTATAATATATAATATGATATACCTATAGGTAAATATAGATAAAAAAATTATTTCAAAAATGTATTTATATTATATTATATTTATACCTATTTATTTTTATTTAAGTATATTGTAAAGTAAACAATATTTTATACAAAAATATAAAGTAAACATATTATTTATATAGGTATCTATATTATCATACAATTAAAAATGATATGTGTTAATAAACTTTTGGCCCTCTAAGAGCATTTGATTTTTTTTGTGGCCCTTGAATAAAAAAGTTTGGAGACCCCTGCTATAAAGTATAAAGAATCATACATTAAACTTACACTATCCAGCATATGATTATGATTTATTATTTCTGGTAATTGATGTTATATACACATTATATATACGATAGAATTATAGGAATATACATAGGTATACAATAAACTATTATGGTTATAATTTATAGGTTATTACTACCCAAATACCTTATACTGAGACACTGAATAATACCTATACTCAATATCAATAGGTATGTATTTATGGAATAGGTATTACTGCTACATTGAAAACGATTGGAATATTGGGGTATTTGTGTAGGGTGATAATAAAATAAGGGTGCTTTTATGATTTACCTGATGATTTAAGATTGAAATGGGGAGATTGTAAACTCGGCCCGAGGAAAAAACATTTCCAAAAGGTCGATGGTAAACTCGGCCCGCGTTTTTTTCAGGTCAAAATTATTTAGATGTAAACTCGGCCCGGATTTTTTTCAGGTCAAAATTATTTAGATGTAAACTCGGCCCCGATTTTTTTCAGGTAAAAATGATTTAGGTGTAAAAACCATCATTTTTCTTATAATATTTTTGAGAAACATTTAGCATTACCCAGAGGACACCACGAGGAGGCGGTTCTCATTATCCTTCAAAAATAATTTTAATTTTCATATTATTATTCATAGTATGAAATTCGTTATTTAAAAGAAAAATGTAATTAAAATGTTATAATATTGATAATAAAATAATAATAAATGTAATTATATAAATGTATAAGTGTAAAAATGTGTATAAATATAATAAAAAATATATAAGTAAAATTGTAGTGTAAATAATGAGTGAAAAATTTTAGTATAATAATATATAAATCTAGTTTTTTAAGTAAAACGCCATGTATTTTACATATTCACTCACTGATATTTCTTTATTTTTATATTTTATAAGTTTTCTTTCTGAGAGTTCTTTTTTTTTTTTACTTTTTATATTTTGGAATTTAAATGGTCCATCTAGGCTGTTGATTTTAATGTACGTTTCTGTTTGTACTTCTTTTAATTTTGAAATGACGGAATATATATTTGGGTAAGTGGAATTAAAACTTGAATTAAAATGCGCATGAAATGATTCACATGCATTTTTTGTTAAATACGTTTCAAACTTTCAACTGATGCACTGGCCCACATTTCAGGCGGAAACATAGAATCTGACACCTGACATTTTCGAGCCGAGTTTACAATCGATTTATTTTACCATCTGAAATTTCCGGGCCGAGATTACAATCTACCTATTTATATTACCTAAAATTGTCGGGCCGAGTTTACAATCTACCTATTTTTATTACCTAAAATTCTCGGGCCGAGTTTACAACAAAAAAGGTAAATTCGGGCCCAGTTTACATTTGCCCTTGAAATGTTTGGGGCTTGTTAGTTGTTAATATTCGATGTATTCGACGAGACCCTAACGTGTAACGTGTACCTGTGTCCTGTATAGAGTAAGTATACTTGGTACATAATGGTTTGGAGAGAAGCTATTTTGTGTATAAGTAATAATTATATTGCGTGTCTGTATATTAAAAAATGGTTCGCCCTTAATAAAATAAATAAATGAGAAGGTAGTTTATTATTCAAGTTGACATATTTGGATATTGGAATTATTGGATGTTAGGAGATAACGAAGTCACATGCTTCTGGTGTCATTTGGTTGCTTCCTCTTAGTATTTATAATATATGCAGACCGGGTGAGGCATCGGACAAGTTTCGCTCTTGAGTCTTGAGTAACGAGTAATTTGTTGCAGTGGTAGTGGTTGGTCGTCGATGGTTATAGTATGATGGTTGAGCTATTGAGGTACATTCTCTGAATTATTTTAGAGTGAAACAGCAATATAGTTTTAGTTATAACTATAATTTTCCTTTCGTTGTACCTTGTACCACGAAAAAAATAAGATCCAACTGCGTCGTAATGAAGTTAGTCGTCAGCTAAGTATAGTTTCATGGAGTGTTAGGAGATGAAAGTCAAACAGCAACGTCTAGTATTTTGTATGATATTTTAATTTTAAGAAAAATTATGAGCAATTTAAAATTGGATTTTTTTTTTATATACTTCAATATTAAAATTTAAAGTTAAAAAAAGCTTACGTGAGGCCCTAGATATAATATTTTTACCTTAATTTAATAATATGTTAATAATTCACCCTAAATGTCTCTAATATCTATATAAATCACTAAAGTAAAACGGATTATTCTGAACAGAAATGTACCTATGATAAGACAACAGTACAATAACACATACAGTTCATGGTTCTCACACGGTTCATGTGGGTACAAGTGTAGTCCTCTTATTTCTTAAGAGTAGTTAAATCTTGAGATCTTATCAATATAAAATTAGTATATTGTAGATTTTCACATAATGGATATGTTTTAATAGTTATCTATATTAATAGTAATATAGTTTAATAATTATAAATAATAAGTTTATATAGGTAAACAAATGTTCTTCATTTTAAAATTATGCAGGAACTACTCAACTGCAATGGGTGCTAAAAATTAAAATAGACGGTGCTGTAGCACCCATTTTAGCGTCCATAAGTATTGAACACAAAATTAACTATGGTTTATGACAGTATGGTTCACAACCTATGAGCGGTGGGTATTGTAGTACTTGGTCAGTTGGTAGGATACTGGTCGAGAGTCCAAGCAAAGGGTCGGTAAATTTTAATTGGCATCAACATCGACATTTTTATATGATTTTATACAGTACGTCTATATTTTTGGTTGGATTATATGTAATTTTTAAATTTTAATCAACTATAATTAAAAAAACCCTCTTATATTCGTCATATGAGTAGAGGTTCTTTAATGCTTATATTTCATGCCTAGATATATGGCTGTATACTATAACAGGTCCTCAAAGTTTTTTTTACACAATTCATAGTCCGCATAACTAAAAAGGTTGGGAGCTGCTGGTCTATGATATATACTTTATACTTTAAAGATAAGAGGGTAATTTTGAAAGTCGTGTTATCAAATTACGGTAATAAATGTTATCAACCTCAGTTTTAGATTTAATCTGTACAGTAATATGTTCAGTATCGGTTTTCGAATCTTATAATAAATTGTAATAATGAATATTGTTATTGATTTAAAATTGAAATATAGGTACATCATTTGGTGACCCTCTCATCATACCTCTAGGTATATATATGTATAAATGTATAGTATAAAATATAAATAACTCATGTCAGTATATTCTAATTTTTTTCAACCTAAAATACTGTGTAGGTATATATTATATAATATATAATAATATAATACCAATATATATGAATACACTGTGCTGGCGATTAAAATATAATTAATGAGTATCAACTATACAGACATGGGTTATAGCTGACCAATAATTTATTTGATCAGTATTAATAATATAGTAAAATATAAATATATTATATAATATATGAGTAGGTACCTACCTAAATAATATTGTAACTACCTATATGAGATGATAAATATAAAATGAAACTGTGTAAGAGTAAGACACACAACTTTGATGTCAAAAAGTGACGATAATATTTCTAATCAGTCTCTGTGTTCTGCCTATATATGGAGAGGGGGGCAATATCTTTTTGGTCTAAAAATTCTACTTAATAGACCAACAAGAAATTATAATTTGTAGGTAGTTTATGAGGTCTAGGGAGGGCCCTTATGCCTTACTAAAAGCTGAGCCAGCTATTATCTAAATATTATTACATATCAACCACCCTCATTATCAGTTTTTTTAAAATTCAAATTCTAATATTTGAATTTATAATTACCTACTTATAGTTATTGAATTTCAAATCCTTGATATAGGTATTTTGTTCTACCTGAGGAGCCTACCTGTGGTGATACAAACTTCTATTTTTTAAATGAGAACCCTACTTTTTACTGTAAATTAGTCAGGGAATCTTTTAGATTCTGAGTGAAACGAAGAATGTATTGATTTTACAATGATGTGTGTTCTTTTATTTTTTATTTGTGTGTCTGTATACACGATAAGTAGTCGAAATAATGCTTCGATTTTCAACTTCAGTATCTTTTTCGATGGGAAATTGAATATCGTTGGTGCATTGGGGAGGTCAAAATCTAAAATAGTTTTCACAAGCGCCGGGAAAAACAACATAAAAGTTAAGGAAAAACGGGAATTTTTAAGCAAAATCGGTTTTCCAAAAAAATCGTTTTTGGTTTTTGGTGTAACTCTAAAACAAATGAATATACATGAAATGTATATATGTACATGTATATACATGAAATTTTCACTGGTTGTTTATATTTGCATTTCCTATACACGATAAAATTTTCAAAATATTATAATTTATTTTGAACTGTTAATTGACTTTTTCATTTTCCTTTTTTTAACAAAAAAAATACACAATCACAGTTTATTTTTATAGTCAATTTAAGTTCAAATTTGGACGAAATTACATATTAAAAAACCTAAAATAACTATTTTAGTTATTTTGTTGTGAATGTATAATATAATGCGTGGGGGGTACATGAAACTTCTAAAGTGTACTATTATATATCTTAATATCTATGATAGTATCACGGTTTATCGTTGATGTATAACGCGTTATAAGTACGTAATGGATATTTTGATATGATTAATTTGGAATTTATTATAGGTCAATTCTTTTTTTAATACCATAGATAAGTATATACCTACCTAGAATGACATACCGTCTCCGCTTAGAATCGTTTTTCTTATACAATGATATTATATCATTGAATTCAAATTTAATACCAACCATTATACAGTGACCCACTTGTAACCTACTATACAGCAGAACACCTTTTTTTTAAATTTTGATGCACCTTATTCAAAATGTATAATAGTAGTTTTCCAGTTATGTAAATGCTTATTCTAAGGATAATGGCTCTTATATTATAATGTCTATATAGGATATAGCCATATAGGTACTTTTAAAAAATGTCTGCTGCCTAGCGGCCATAGGTACCTCATAATAATACAATAAAATCACATGTTTGTATTTTTAATTTTAAACATTATATTGATTTTTATTTTTCATCAGATGAGCTCCATTATTTTATTTTGTAGATACTCAAATAGTTTATTATTTATTTCAGATATTTATTTTTAAAATTTAATATACTAATAATAACAAGTGTTATTATACATTATGTATATTGTTTTTAAATCAGAAAATATTAGGCATTTTGTTTAAATGGAACTATTTTGTTACTGATAATGTTGGGCTATTTATACAAAACAATAATCTTTTCAAAAAAATATTACTTTGTATTTTTTTTTAATTACAATATTATAAATCGATATTAATAAATGATAATTGATTTTTAAATAAGAATTAAGTGGAAAAAATTAAAAAGTTGAAAAAATGATGTGTAAAGGTATCAGTTCTTTTCAATAAAGTCCCATTCAGCCATAATAATGTATCGGGTTTAATATACAATATTTAATATTTATAAATCAAATCAAAAATATAAGATTCTATTGAAAAAACTAAAATATGCTAAAAAACCCTACTGAAAAAAATATTTCTTGGCCAACAACTGTTATTGACTCTGTTATGACTCTGCAGTATATATACTAAATACTAATATATATATATATCATAATATTATTATGTATTTTAATTTTTTTTTAAATTTTTTTTCCAAAATTAAAATTTAGGTATGGATTCGAATTCGGGATCTGGAAACAACTTCTTTGAAGCTGTGCAAGGTTGGTTGCCGTTTAAATGATTCATTGGCAATTAAAAACAAAAACTTGGTATCTACGACTATAATATTATATCCATTCGCAAGGTTATCAAAATCGTTTATATTATTAATTACTGATATAGTGATTACTGTATAGTGTATATCAATAATGTTGAAATTATATTCATCATAATATATTTTTATTTTTAAATACGATGTACAAGCATAATAATATTGTTTGTATGGTCATACGTTTATATAGGTATACCAGATACCTTCATATAATACCTATATACATACTATTATTAAATAATAACGATTTCACAATATTTAATTCTACTCACGATTTTTTGCTAATTGATTTTATTAAATATAGGTTATGTAATTTTTATAAGAAAAATTAAAATGTATCAATTGTTAAAGAATATAATAACTTCGTCAATATCTCTATGTATATATACAACGGTGTAGACTTCGATTAAAGAAATAATTTAGACTTTATGGCTGAACAAAAAAGATATATTTATTAATTTTTTAAGTGACTTGATGATTTTTTTGTTATTAGGTACCTATTGAATTCAATTAGATGCACCTAAACTTGGTAGTTGCTTGTATGAATTAGTTTTTATGAATAATGAATGACAATTTTGTTCTATTATATTTATACATATTTATTTATTACGTGCTCGACAAAAAAGTATAGACATAGGTAACACCATAGTACCTATGTTAAAAGTATAATACCTACTTTAACTGTATATGCATATTGTCAGCGACCCCTTGTAGAATAGTCGGATTTCGTTAATTATTTTTTATTTAAAAAAGAGAACATTTTTCAGGTCGGATCAAATCCTAATTTTCAAAATTATAATTTTTTTTTTTTTTATAGATAAAAATAGAGTATTTACAATCTGTAATATTTATGTACAACAATATGTAAATTTTATGGCAAAAAAAACTTGATGGTACAATGAATGGCGTGAGGAGGGAGGCCCACCAGTGTGGATACCCTCTAACTTGGGGTAAAATTATAATTATTGCATTTGAATAATGCACAATATTTGTTATTTTTCAAACGTATTTTTCTAGCACTATTTAAAAAATAATATTTTCAGTTTCAATTAATTTATTATCTATTACTATTATTAAACAAAGATACGACAAAGGAAAATTTAATATTATCAGACTTACTGTTGTGTTAAACTGTTAACAACTATTGTGGTACGATTATTTAATATTTAATACATTTTTTATGAACATCATCGTTCTCTAAATATTTTTAGGATGGTTTTTATTGAGTGAGCTCCATATTTGCTTTTTTTTCGTCTTGCAATCATATTTCTCAGCCTTTCTTTTATCCATTGCTTAATCTGAATTACTTATTATTATTATTTCAAAAACTACGTTACTAGATTAATGATAATATTTTTTTTATAAGTATTTAAACTTTAAAGTGCATATTATATGAACAAAGTTTGACAAAATCTCAGGTGCACAAGGAGGAGTATTTATTTGAATATGTCCATTTTCCTTTAATAACATATAGGTACCATAGAACTTTCCTCTGCCTAAATAATTAAATTTAAATGATTGGTTTAATCGTTGATCCACCGTTGATTCGATGAAAATGCTCGGTATAGTTGAGTGGTAGTCAGTAGATTACAACTTACAAGTGTGCGCCGTGCGGCAGCTGGCAAAAAGTATAGTTAGGTACAACAAAATTACAAGAACACCACATTTTTTAGCTGACCTTGTGGTTAACTTAACTTATTAATATTTTAATACAAATATACTCTCCTGTTTTACTATCTCAAATTCTTTTCAAATTTAAAATTTCGTTTCTCAAGTTATCCTGTTCCTTTTCACATCCTTACGTCTCTTACTAATTAAGTATGACGAAAATTAACTACTCCGTCGTTCAGTCATTGAATGTTGCAAGCTAATTTGTACAAAATATGTATATTCTTCTTTTTCTTATTGAAATAAACCAACTTATAATTATTGTATTAATTATTATAATTATTTTTTTAAAGTTATATCTATGGCGTTTATTGTCAAAAAAAAATATTATTATAATAAGTAAAATAAAATACGGCGAGGGAATTGAATCCATGGACCATAACTGCAAATTGTTACTTTTTAACACCAACATGTTGTACGATGCTGTATATTGGTGATATTTTTTTAAATGGATTTCATACTAGCAATTACATTAGAATATCAATGTTCATATATAAGCACAAACTAAACGAATAAAAATAGTTGTACAATATTTTTCTTATGGTATTCGTGCCTATATTTGCCAATCTGTCGGTCGTTGTTTCAGTTACTAAGATTGGATATCGTGGCACGGTCAAATGACAATTTGTATGGACAATGATTTGTTATATATTATTTAAAAATGTATATTTATAATCTACCTATACAAGGTTTAAATCCAGTGGTTGATTTGGGGGGGGGCGCTGGAGGAAGGAGTCCCCCTTTTTTAAAAATTTTATTTTAGCGTACCCCCTCTATTTGAAACGGAACGCTGGAAACGCATCATTTACTATAGTGAATTTGTAAATCATCAGTTTTTCTGATGCAAAATACACCTATAACCTATAGCCATAATATTTGTACATTTGAATCGACTATGAAAAAAAAAATTGATTGTTAAATTGCTAAGAAATTGTATTATACCCACATAAATATAAGCATATATCAGCTGTGACTATGTCATAAATAATTGATACATTTTATGGATTATATTTTTATAAATCGTGATATAAATTCTGAAGAAGTAAACTGTCCTAAACGATCTTCTAAATATGAAGATTCATATAAGATTAAGTTCATAATATGAAAACTTATGGACCTTATTTAATACGTAAGTTGTTTTTTTTCTTTTTTTTTTGTAGAATAATTAATTAATAATGTTACATTTAATGTTTTAAAAGAAACAAGGAATAAACAAGTGTTTTTTCTTTTAAAATATTTTTGTATAGTAAATTTAATGATTTTTTGAGCTATGGGTGGCTGAAGGGGGGTGGGGGGGGCTTTGCTTTGCCCCCCCCCCCAAAACTGTAATGTGATATTAAATTTTGTGTGGAACGCTCATTCATCAAACATCCACTGAGTCCTCCTTCTAGTTTTTTTCCAAACCAAGCACTGGGTTTAATAAGTTTAATAAGTGTGGTGACATAAAATAACATTAATTATAGAGTAGGATGGCTCCCAGCAACCTGAAAAGAAATCAACGGATAAAGATCGGAGAGAACTTTAATAGGTGAGATGCATAAATTTAAAATAAAAATTCACTTGACGAGAAAATTTGGGATTTTGGAAATTTTCTACATTTAGTGTAATAAATTAAAAATACAATATGTATATGTATATTTTACTGATTTACCCTAGGAGACAAGAGTCAGCACACGAGTAACAAAAAGCATATTGTAATGTTGTATGACGTAATGGGGGAACTGGGAAGATATGTTGTATACGTAGGGCATCAATTGAAAGTTATATAGTTGTATTATTAAGCCATACAACATGTTGTCATGTTATAATAACAAGTTACATTAATACATTAGTACGTTAGTTGTAATCGTACAATTTTATAATGAAAAAAAAACAAAAACTATACATATTGGTAGGTTTTAATTTTAAGAGTGGGTCGTGGGTGGTTGAGTACTGGCTAGCTTTAGTTTGCCCTTACGGATAAATATATTTTCGTGACGCCACTGGTCGTAAGTTTGTAACATCAAATATCAATAAACGTTAAAAAATAAAAATTGAATTTCGGCAGTACTACGTAATATATACATATTATAGAAGTGTATCGAGTATCGACTATCGAATCGACACGCAGTACGCACAAACTCGTGCTCATGCACACACACTCTCACACCCTACGCGCAGTATGTCGTTAAGTCGTTAATTATTCGAAAACGCGTTTCCGATAGACGCGTTTCGGCGATCAAAACAAAAACCGAGGGAATTATAATCAATACAATTCAGTAATAATAATAATAATAATAATAATAAAGCAGAGATTGGAATTTGGAAGTGATCCGAACATGATTAGAGCAGCAGTCATTATTATAATTTATACAATTGTATTATAAAAAATATAATATACTGTATAATATTATTTTGATTTTTGTCTGCGTAGTGCGTATGTACACAATATTGTATAAACATTACACACGCGTAATAATAATAATATATCGTACGACGGTTTACGGCGTCGGCGGCCATAAATCGTTGGCACCACTGTAAACGGGTCGGCACGGTGGCGCGCGCACAAGGTTCGTGCGCGCGCGACGAGGTTTTGATGTTTGGACGATGTTCCGTTGGTGGGGTGGTGGGAGCGACCCGACCGACGTGAACACACTGTGTGCTATGACGAACGGTCTGCTCCACCGGATCGCCTTGTGAATAAATATTCGACTTTTCCCCGGTTTTCCGCTGGCCGATCGGTTAGTTTTTTTGTTTTTTCTCCTTTTCCTTCTTGTCGCTGCTCGTCACCACCGCGCTCGCCTGCGCCGGGCCGGCCCCGAACGACAACCGCGCACCGGAACGCACGGGCGAAACACGCCGCCGCCGCCGACGTTGCACGTTATTTATTTTGTTTTTATTTCGTTGTTTTATTTTTTTTTCTCTCCACTCTTCCCGACGCGCACACGACCGCCGATCGGTTGTCGCCATTTTGTGAGTGCCGCTCGTGTGTCTGCGCCGCAGTGCCTATCGTGTGTGCCCGTAATAACGTACAAATCTCGTGGCCGTTTTTTTCGCGCTCTGACGAACGTCCGTGTAGTGTGCTGGTGGTCCGGCCGCCGGGCGACACGATACGGGACGCGCGCCGCTGACTGGACTGTGGTGCTGTTGCCGCCACCGCCGCTCCTGCTTGCGACGACGCCGCCGCCGCCGCCTCAGCGTACGTGCGAGTAGCAGCGCGGGGTGTGCGCGTCCGTCACAGATCCACCGCGGCTTAGATAACGGCCGCCGCCGGTGATAACGATGCACGGGCCGCCGACGACGACGACGTGAAAATATGCTCG